AAATTTCAATAAAATTGAGAAAAATTTCGAAAAATTCCATTTATTTCGAAAATTAAAGCCCCAATCGTTCTGAAACTATCATTCGCCTGCCATAATGTGGCCATTGCGGTCATTTTGCATCCCCTATGGAGATCTCAAGACCTTCGGGAGCCGAATAACCAATATTAGGGGTGGGGCGTATGGGTTCCTGGAGAAAAATGACTATAAAAATGTTTGCCCAAAAGTTTCAGCTGGACGGTTTTTTTTGTGGTTCCTGGGACTATGGACAACACATTCCTGTAGACAAACCTTTGTTACGAATTTGTTCACAGAAAAATCAACTCTTGCCCTAACTACAAGGAGACATTACTAGAGAAACTCTTGGAAAAGAATGAAATGCTGAAGTCCTCTTCCGGAAAAGATGATGCGGTAAAAGTGGTTTTCTTCGACGATAATGAGAAATCGGCTGTCATCTGTGTTACTGCAGCAATACGTGAGTCAATCAAACAAAACAGAGACTGACCTCAGGGAACACCTCATCCAATGTTATCATTGCCAAGAATTTGGTCACATGGCTGTTGGCTAACTCTATGTACTGTAAAGCCAAAGATAAAGAACCAACATGTTTCTTCTGTGCGGGAAACCACAAGTCAAAAGACTGTAGAAACAAGAGTGAAAATAATTTCCAAAAGATAATAAAACAAAAGTTAATAAAACAAAAGTTAAATTTATTACCAATTATTCAATCAATACATATCATAAATTCTAATATTGGAAACACATGCACAATGCAGAATGGATGTCTTAAACTATAATTTTGTTGTCACTAATAATCTATTTACTTTCAAAGTTGAAATTTAGTTAAGTATGAAATGCCACCACATCATAGTTAGAAGAACTCAGCAAAGACCCAAAAAGCCTCTGACAACCTATGTTCCTCGTATGTAAGAGGGCCAGCTGGAATCATGAATAGGACAGCAGGATATGAGAATGTGAGTCGGAGTCTTAGAGCATCTTTGAGAAGTCGATAGTGACATCTGTTTTGTTCAAGAAACTTTCTTTCGTGATGGAAACACAGCTAAGATAATGGAGAGACTCTTGAACTTGTATCGGCCTCCTTATACCAAGAAGGCTCGGTACACGGAGTGTGCCTTTCTAGAAGAATTTGAAGACTACATTAAAGACCTCACAGTCAAACCTGGTTTTCCTATCATCGCTGGAGATTTCAACCTTCACAGGGAAAAGTCTGAAGAACACTACCCAAAGAAGCTCTGCAAATCCTGTACATATATAAACACGTTCCTCTTGAGCTAACCCATGACCAAGGTGGAACCCTAGAACTTGTAGTGACTAACCGAGCCTTCAAGGAAAAACTGGCTTCATTCGAAATCTGTCCCTCAAGAACCAAATCTGACCACTTCTTTGTGCTCTCCGATGCAGACATCAAGACAAATACCAAAGAAGACGTAAAATTCATGAACTATAGAAACTTTAATTTAATTGATACAGAACATTGTTCTGTCAGAAAAGTTTAAAGAAGTTATTTTAATTTCAAAACTAGGATGTGAAAACTGTGTCAGAACAGTTTAAAAGAAGTTATTTTAATTTCAAAACTAACATGTGAAAACTGACATGTCTTAATTTCAAAATAGACATGTCTCCGAATGATGCTGTTGTCCTTTACAACACCGTGGTTACTCAGTTAATGGATAAACACTGTCCTTACATAAAAAAGAAAATTATTAAGAAGCCGATGCCCCGGTTAGACCTGGAACTTCGTATTCTCAGGCGAAAGAGAAGAGCTGCCGAACGTGCCTAGAGAAAATATAAAGTAGATAATATAGACAGCGAAAGATCTGAATACCTGAGATCTGCTTATGTTAAGCTAAGAGACGCCAAAATTGGTCGGCGGCGGCGGTCTGACTACTAGATATCCAAACCGCGGTGTACTGTGTTCATGATGATAATTTGGTTGTGTAACTGATGTATATGAATTGATTTCTTAATATCACTCTACATTGAAGAACTAATTTATCATTAACAGCTGTATAATGTTGATCTGACAGCCAATACCTCAAAAACCGTGGTCTTGGTCAAAATTTCGCGAAAAAGACACCCAAAACCTACCAAACTTCAAGGATCCTGTGAAAATGTCTGATTTCTTTGCTGACAAGGTAGCCACCATAAGGCAAGATATTGAGAAGGAAGGAAAAGATTCTGTCAAAGACAAAGACAAAGAAAGGGAAAAAGACAAAGACAAAGACAAAGATCCTGTTCTCGATAAAGACTGCATTTTCGATAACTTCTCTAAGATAACAGCTGATGAACTCAAAGATTTGATCTCAAAAATGTCTATCAAGTTCTGCTGCTTGGATCCGATCCCAACATTTCTTTTAAAAGATTGTGTTACTGAACTAACACCTTTTTTACTCCACGTCATGAACTTATCCTTGAAGACTGGAGTCTTTCCCTCTGATATGAATAACGCAGTTATCTAGCCGACTTTAAAGACAGAGGAAATGCTGATGTCGATATTCTCCGTAACTATCGACCAGTCTCTAACCTCTGCCTTCGTCAAGATCCTAGAGAGAATTGTACTAAACCAGCTCAATGTTCATCTCACAAATCATAGCCTTTACTCAAAAGTCAAATTTGGATACCGCCCTAATCACAGCTGTGAAACACTTCTTGTAAGAATTTGTGATGATCTAAACAAAGAAATTGAAGCTGGGAATGTTGCTATAATTGTACTTCTTGACTTAAGTGCGCCGTTTGATATTATTGACCACACAGTCTTACTGGAAAAGCTTATGAAGGACTATGGAATTACTGGAAGTGCACTGCAATGGATAAAGTCCTACCTTGAGAAAAGACACTTCTGCGTTAACATTGATGATACTCTTTCTTCTTTCTTGGAGCTATTGTTTGGAGTTCCCCAGGGATCACTCTTGGGGCCTATTATTTTCATCCTCTATATCAAAGCTCTCCAGAAAATTGCGGCCAAATATGGTCTTGATATACAACTCTATGCAGATGACTCCCAACTGTACATCTCGTTTCAACCAAACCGTGTGGTACAGTTCACTGATATCCGAGACAAAACAAACAAATGTCTTGCAGAGATAAAAGCATAGATGGTAAACAAATTTCATGAAGCTGAACGAAACAAATACAGAACTACTGGTGTTAGGTAAGAGCCATGTTCTAAAAAAGTGTGAACTCAGTGTCAGCTTGTCAGCCTGCAATTTGGAAGCGCCAAAATTCTACCTACAGAGTGCAAAGGTGACAGCTGGAAGAGTCTAGGTGTTAAATTTGATGAAACTTTAAATATGGAAAGACAGATGAATAGTGTGAAAAGGAAATGTAGCTGGACAATGATGAACCTAAGAACTTAAGAACTATTGGTTCTGGATTAAATTGATGTTGGTGAAACAACTGGTTATATCTAAGTTAGATTAATGTAATTCTCTGTACATGAATCTACCCAAGACCAGATTAAACAAACTTAGATCCATCCTAAATGGGGCAGTTTAAAAGGGAACCAAGTTATGTCATCTATGACATAGAAGACATAACTTGGTTCCCTTTTATAAGAAGTCCCACATACTCCCTGTAAACCACCGAATCTGGCGGAATCTTCTTTGAAATATGTGTATTAACCCTCAAATCAGTTCACGGTACTGCAACTGGGTACCTGAAATCAGTTCACGGTACTGCAACTGGGTACCTGAAATCAGTTCACGGTACTGCAACTGGGTACCTGAAATCAGTTCACGGTACTGCACCTGGTTTCCTCAAATCAGTTCACGGTACTGCACCTGGTTTCCTCAAATCAGTTCACGGTACTGCACCTGGTTACCTCAAATCAGTTCACGGTACTGCACCTGGTTACCTTAAATCAGTTCACGGTACTGCACCTGGTTTCCTGAAATCAGTTCACGGTACTGCACCTGGTTACCTTAAATCAGTTCACGGTACTGCACCTGGTTACCTTAAATCAGTTCACGGTACTGCACCTGGTTACCTTAAATCAGTTCACGGTACTGCACCTGGTTACCTTAAATCAGTTCACGGTACTGCACCTGGTTACCTTAAATCAGTTCACGGTACTGCACCTGGTTTCCTCAAATCAGTTCACGGTACTGCACCTGGTTACCACAAAGCTTTACTGGATGTGGACGTAGTGGATACAGAAACACCATGATCAGGTCAAAGAGACTGGGTGACCATCTCATGCTCAAGATACCAACAAATAAAAAGTCCAAACTCCAAAGTTGATGACAGACGTTTCTCAAGCCATGCACCGGTTTCATGGAACTCTCTTCCACTGATGTTGAGATGTATTACTGATACTAACTGTTTCAAGCGAATGTTGAAGAATCATTTATATAATCAGTTTTGATAAATTTTTCTTTTCCATTTGTTTTCACTTTGCAAGACACTTTGGCTTTTATTTTTTACCGCACTCCATTTTATGTCTTGATCTCTACCTTTCTAGGATCTGTTCCTTTTTGAATTTTTGGTTGATTATGTCACTGTACTAACCTACATTATACCTACATGTATTGTATGGTTTCTGCTTATACTTAGTTTAGTGTGGTTTACAATCAAATATGTTTTAATTTTGTCTATGCCTTATAATGAGTTACACTTTTGTTCACATCACTAACAGTCAGCCGCTCTGGTATGGTTAACCACCTTCCTTGTGGTGTTCGTTAATCATATGAGCGGGATATAAAGACCTCATTTCATTTCATTTATATTTAGTATTATTTATATTTAGTAGCATTTATATCTTGTATTATTTATATTTGATAAAGCTTTCGCTGACGTTAAGGAAAGTAGAGATTGTCCAACAAGGGTGTTAATTAGCCGCAATCCTCCCAAGATAAAATACGTTAGGATCTTAAGATTTTTTAGATATCATTGAGCATAAGCAGTGATACAACGTATCTCGGGATGATCCGCAGAGTCTCGACTAGTTTCGGCTTACCGCCATCAACAGGATCGATGAATCATCTCAAATTATTTGTTATATAGTAGTGTTGAAAGTATTAAGCCGAAACTAGTCGAGACTCTGCGGATCATCCCGAGATACGTTGTATCACTGCTTATGCTCAATGATATCTAAAAAATTATTTATATTTAGTAGTATTTATATTTTGTATTATTTATATATTTTAGTAAGATTGCTATGTTCTCAGGATGAACGACTGAACGATTTCACCCTGTGTTTCTACAAGTACAACTCCAAGTTGATTGTGCAAGATGACCCAGGTGTAGTTGAGAACTCCCTAAAGAAGAGTATAGACGGATTACAGAATGCACAGGATGTTCCGCTAGTTAGACACCTATACTTGATCATGGACCGTCTGTTCGCTCTCAGTGTTAAACCTACTCTCTCTCCTAAAGGAGGTGCGTACTTCTAGTTAACATTTTCTCTCTCCAATTTATTTGTCACTTAACTTGGAAGACTGGTTGGTTTTATAACATTTGGTAAATAACAAACTTCAAGATAGTGGAGAAGTGATAACGCTAACAATCGCAAAATTGAGCAAAAAGTTCGGAGAGAAACTTAATCAGTCTGACAGGAGAGAATTGTTGAGGAAAAAACAGGGTTTGAATCAAAAAGCTGTAACCATTGCAACTATGGTATATAAGCTGCGACGTGACTGTGTTCAAATAGACTGCCTGTTTTTAGTAAGTAGCTGCTGCTGGATTATATGGTAACCATGGTAACCATAGTATGACTACACCCACTCTACATCACGTCACTCTTATTTAGGATCTAACGAGGGTGCCAGATCCCTCCCCAAAGATACTCTGCCGCTTCTCATGGTCCACAATCCAAAATTCGTGTGGCGTCGACAAATAGATTACAGTAAGATAGTTCCGACGGGCAGCCTATAAATTTAGAATCATATGTGCAAAATAAGTGTTCACCTGGGGACTATAATAATTCATTACTTTTTAATGTTTTGTGGTCGATGAGCATTAGTAAATGTGTTACTTTACATGGTAAGGTAAATGTGTTGTTATTTATGTGTTACTCGTACTATTATTTCTATTTACATGTCCTGATTTTCATGTCTTTCGAGAAATTGCGGTGATGGTTATAATGAAATCCATCATACCCTCCCCCAATCGTCCCCCAATTATCCCCTCCCCTCCCCTCACCTCCCCCAATTCTCCCCTCCCCTCCCCTCCCCTCCCCTCCCCTCCCCTCCCCTCCCCTCCCCTCCCCTCCCCTCCCCTCCCCTCCCCTCCCCTCCCCTCCCCCTCCCCTCCCCTCCCCTCCCCTCCCCTCCCCTCCCCTCCCCTCCCCTCCCCTCCCCTCCCCTCCCCTCCCCTCCCCTCCCCTCCCCTCCCCTCCCCTCCCCTCCCCTCCCCTCCCCTCCCCTCCCCTTCCCTCCCCTCCCCTCCCCATCCCTCCCCTCCCCTTCCCTTCCCTCCCCTCCCCTCACCTCCCCTCCCCTCCCCTCCCCTCCCCTCCCCTTCCCTTCCCTCCCCTCCCCTCCCCTTCCCTCCCCTCCCCTTCCCTTCCCTCCCCTCCCCTCACCTCCCCTTGCAGATGGCACACTGTCACTACTCATTCGAGGATTCTGTTGTCTAAATTTGAAAGTTCGATTGGTGGAGGCTACACCCGTTTAACTCTAACTTCCCGTCTTGGCGAACATGCTAGAAATCCCACTCTTACATAATGCAATAGGACATAATATTATATTATCTTTGAAATTATACGGATTTAAAGTTACGAAGTTATCAAGTATCTAGTTATTGTTCAGTGTGATATTACACCCTAATAATGAAAATATCAGGTTCTTAAGATTAGCTGATAACTCAGTCATCTGAGAAGCTAGAGCTTTCATCTTTTCAGAAAATATGTAATTTGAATGGCAAAACACAATGCATTACAATTTGACACGATATATTCAAAATATCTAAATAAATAGGAATATCTATCAGCGCCACACCCCAGATAACACCGCACAACTCCGCCACACCTAATCTGCCTGAACTGGAAGGTCGACACTTCAACCCTAACGGCTAACATATAGGTCAAATATCGGGAATATCACGAGTCTTTCGAATCTACCATGAGTATCGCTATCCCTTAACTACTAAGAAACATAAACAAAACAAATCTGAAAATCCTTAGTCGCAAAACATTGAAAAGAACGGAAATTGTAATTTAATCATTACTGATATGAGTATATTTAAACATACTCGATATAATTTCACTATAGGTACCGTGAAGTGACAGCTACATTGTTAACAGTCAGTTATTTTATTTGTTGTTAGATACAATATTAGCCGCTTGTTTCTATAGTAACAGTAAGTTACTATAGTTGCAGTTAGTTGCACTAATATTAATAAACTCATCTGTACAGGAACGTTATCTGCTATCGCATTTAAAGCAATATCTGACATTGTGAGGAAAGTTCACGAGCTGCACCGGAAGAAGGAAAAACCTCACGGCAGAAACTCAATACTAGCTAGCTACGTGGCTTACATATTCAGGGTGAGTAGAAACTCAATGCTAGCTAGCTACGTGGCTTACATATTCAGGGTGAGTAGAAACTCAATGCTAGCTAGCTACGTTGCTTACATATTCAGTGTGAGTAGAAACTCAATGCTAGCTAGCTACGTGGCTTACATATTCAGGGCGAGTAGAAACTCAATGCTAGCTAGCTACGTGGCTTACATATTCAGGGTGAGTAGAAACTCAATGCTAGCTAGCTACGTGGCTTACATATTCAGGGTGAGTAGAAACTCAATGCTAGCTAGCTACGTGGCTTACATATTCAGTGTGAATGTCTTGTTTGTTGTTACCTTAACAAATAAATAACAAATAGTAAAATGTTCACAGACTCCTCATGACGAGATGAACAGGGCGAACTCCCGTGCAGCGTCCTTGTCCCGTATAAACAACCACTCTTCCGAGAGCGAGCCGTCCTCCGAGGACCTGGAAACACCTAGAAATAGCCCCACCAAACAGTCACCTCTTGGACAGAGGTGCAAATCTTTTTCTACAGCTAACGCTCCATCGGTTAGTATTAATTTGTTGTTCAGTGAATGAGGACGAAATGGTTGTTACTATAGTAACAGTAAGTTACAGTGAGTCTCTACCGTAACAATTAGTTAATATATAGTTACAGGCTATGACGTATTACTTATAGTTACAGCTAGTTACTATAGTTACATCTAGCACTTACGATTTATAGTTATAGTTAGTTACTATAGTTACAGGATGATGCCACATCTGGGAGAGCTAGAAGCAGCAGCATCGTGAAGAAAGTTTCAAAACGCCTCCATGAGCAGTTAGTGAGTCAGTGGATAATCTGTGACACGAGGGACCAATCTTTTGAACACGCCTGGTTCTTCTTTGAAATAATCGTGAGTAGCTTTTAAACGTTTATTTACTACTACTACAGTCAGTATTACAGTTAATATTACATAATATTATATTATATATGGTTGATTGATTGAAGATTACTACCCGGAGGTAATACTCGGCACTAACGCCTTAAAATTTTTAATTATAATCAATTTAAAAATATTTCCACCAGCGGGCTATATTTAAATATTTGCGCAGCCCGCTTGTTAAAAGGCCTGATATTTCTCAGCCCGCTGATATAGCCCGCATGAAATTTGACCAGTAGTGATATAGCCCGGAGACCAAATAATCAAATAACAGTTTCACTTTATTTTTTTGCCCGGTAGGGCTGCCGGCTGATGATACAGCTCTAAAACTTTAACTATTGCAATTCACGTGCACCATATTTATGATGATCGATACAAATTTGACTTTACACGCTACACAATACACAATATACAGTTGTTAAAGTTATAGCAAGCACTCTTTTTGATAGTTTAAGATGAATTGATTGTTTGATCGGCCCTACACATTGTGCACTGATTAACTCTCATTGTACATTTGTCATGGTGGGGGGGGTTACAACGGTCATTAATGTCAGTATTATAGAATTTTGCTGAAATATACATATACATTAATGCACATTAATGCCCATTTGCATTTATGCCCATTAATGCACATTAATGCACATTAATGCCCATATTTAATAGAAAAATGAGAAAAAAGTATGGGCATTAATGGCAGTATTTTAAAATTTTGCACATTAATGCCCATTAATGCACATTAATGCCCATATTTAATAGAAAAATGGGCAAAAATGGGAAAAAAAGTATGGGCATTAATGACAGTATTATAGAAAAATAGAATTTTGCTGAAATATACATATACATTATTGCACATTTATGCCCATTTATGCCCATTAATGCACATCAATGACCGTTGTATCCCCCCCGTCATGGTAACAGGAATTCTTTGTTACTCGTAGTATGGATTGACGGAGATACACAATTTTTAATCTTGGCACATTTGCATACTTAAAGCATGCTAATATCGTAACTATTCATATGAACTGCTTACCATCAAGTCATAAGTAGTCCTCGGACTGGGTCGGGCTTCTTGGATACTGAAATCACCTGGGACACCCTGATGTATAACTTACGAGGAGAGCTCCCAATTTTCTCAAATATTGGGTCTTATTTTTGTAAAATAAAGAAATGGAACTCGGAGTCTATTATGTTCAACAAGCAGTCATATATTTTTCTATTTCAGATCAAGTCTATGGCTCAACACCTTAGCAAACTACAATGCAAGGGTAAATCTAGGATGTCTTGGTTCCCTAAAGATTTTAAAGATGATCTCAACCGCCTGCTTAAGTAAGTTGATAGATAGTGACAGTTCACATTACTTTATCATTTAGTTTCTATTCACGTTGTTCATATAAATATAAATATTTATTATATATGATAAATATTCGGTATTTATAATTTTAAAAGGTTTGAAACGGCATCATCGAATGTTTCATCCCCCTCCAAATGTTTCATTTGGAGGGGGGGATCTCATCGCCCATTTATTCCTCAACTTTTGGTCATTGCTATTTTTAAGGCTCTGTCCATTAAAAGCATTCAAAACCTGAGTTATGATGAAAATAAACATCACTATCGTATTAGCCGTGCGCTAATTAGCAAGAACAGCTACATTTCAGCTCAATAGAGTATGTAACAGAAATATTTATTTTTGATTTTCCGATTTTGACCGGAAAATTATGCCAAATGCCCATTTTGCATTTTGCCGATTTATTCCTTAGCTTCGGGGGGGGGGGGGGGGGGGGGGTTAGATATATATATGTATATATATATATATTGTATAAAGATGTTAGAAAAGGACTATATTTAGTGTAGGGCTAGTGTAGTTCGTAAAGTATTTATAAGCTTATCTTTTAACTTAATAGTTAGGCCAAACTAGTCGACTCAGTGAGAAGAAATAATAATATATATATAGACACGGCACCCAAACTAGTTGACTCAGTGAGAAGCAATAATAATGATATATATATATACGGCACCCAAACTAGTCGACTCAGTGAGAAGCAATAATAATAATATAGACACGGCACCCAAACTAGTCGACTCAGTGAGAAGCAATAATAATAATATAGACACGGCACCCAAACTAGTCGACTCAGTGAGAAGCAATAATATATATATATATATACACGGCACCCAAACTAGTCGACTCAGTGAGAAGCAATAATAATAATATAGACACGGCACCCAAACTAGTCGACTCAGTGAGAAGCAATAATAATAATATAGACACGGCACCCAAACTAGTCGACTCAGTGAGAAGCAATAATATATATATAGACACGGCACCCAAACTAGTCGACTCAGTTAGAAGCAATAATAATAATATAGACACGGCACCCAAACTAGTCGACTCAGTGAGAAGCAATAATAATATATATATGTATAACAGATGGTTTGCGTTAAATGTCCATTATGTGCGTCATAGTACAGTCAGTTATGCACAAAAGCTGTAGAATATCTGCACGATTGGGGAAGAATTTTTCCTGAAGCACAGGCCTTTATCAAGGTATTAGTAACTCAATTTCACTCGGAGGCGCCTGTTTTAGCTTGGGCATAACCCTACAGGACGCTTTGAAGTTGAGTTACCCAATTGCGACTGACGCATGCTTAAAATGTGTCTAACTCAGCTTATGATTGACCAATTGAGGTCAATTAACCTGTCAAAATGACCAGAATGAGCACATTAATAGGGGCGAATAAAGGTTTTAAGGTCCCAAACCATTCAGTTTTTGAGTTATAAGACAAAAACTGTGTCGCGAAGCCAAAAAATCAGGATTTTGTAACTTTCTTTATCAAGGGTTTTAGAAGATCTGTAACCCCATCAAAATGACCGGAATGAGCACATTAATATAGGCTAATGAAGGTTCTAAGGTCCCAAACCTTTTAGTTTTCGAGTTATACACCATTAACTTTGTCGCGAAATCACAAAATTGGCCGCGATAAGTATCTTTAATGATAACAATCAAGTTTCCGAATATCGTTGTTTAACCCTAACAGGATTGAAAATAACGTCTTTAAACAATAAATAAATAGGTACAATCCAATCTATTGTCATAAGACAGCACAGAATAAACCGTATATTTTTATTTGAAAATTCAATTAATTATTGTATATATAAATCAAGCGTTACATTAATTCAGCCATGCAAAATTACAATGACATATTTTGATATTCTAATTGATAAATGGTACTGCAATATAAGTTGCTTAATGTTTGGCCGGATGACAACTAACTAAAAAAGAAAAATAAACTTGGTTACATAATAATTAATTCGGCTGAACCAACACATAGCAAGAGCCACATATAAGTTTAGAAAAAATGAACCAAAGTTCAAATGCCAAGTTCTACTTCAAGTTTCTTACTATAGCAATTAAACTAAAGCAATCGTCAAGAACTTAGATTAGATCTAAAAATATTCTCTTTGTGATTAGCTCGGTCCTGATGTTGATGGACTGCGTGTTTTTGATGATGATGAGCTTTTCTGTATAAAACAAGTACATATTAACCTTGTATTGATTTATGATAAACCCATCTTACAGGATTGTTTGCAATTACACAATTTTAATCATCCAACCATTTCGGTATGCACTGGACTGGCCTCATTACGTGCAATGCTAGGCCGTTTTTCATCATAATATCAAGGTAACTTTCCCAAATTACCAGAAACTTAGGAGGTGAAAATCCGAAATCGAGCTTTATTTAATGACAATACATCAGCTTGCCCGTAACAAATAACCATTAACTCAATTACTGCTGAAAGGTTTCAAATGGTACAATGCTGTTTCTTCCTGAAGTGATTTGTGACTGCACTAGACTGTATTCTATTGGGAGAGAACAATACCAAGACTTTATTCTTTGATCAAAAGAGGTTATTCAGACTGAAAAAGCCTAAAAAATAACAACCTTATGATCATGAGAAAGTGGTAAGAAGCTGCATCAAGGTCATCATTGAATATAGAGAATAGCCTAGCATAACTAACTAAACTCAGACCAGCATGTGAAGATAGAAGTGAGGCAGCAAGACAGCTCTTCTGTCAGGAATTCACGAACATTCCAAAATGTTTGGTCGACGGAGAAGGAGGTTCTTACCACAACGACGAGTCTCTTCTTTTGTAAGTCATTGGTCCTTAATCAACCCAAGTGTATCGTTTAGCATTGCCAAAAGCTGATGGCTGATGGCCTAGCTTTGTTTTAACAAACAAAGAGGCTGGATATCATTTCTGATACCTATCAGAACTGCAGCATCAAGACCACAACTCGTGAGGCAAGGGGTATAGAGGGTACAGCAAACTTTAATGAAGGTGATCACATGCCAGAGACATCGAAAAATAAAATGAGTGAACAAAACTGAACGAAATCATTCAGAAGAATCCTTCCAATCCTATATTTTGGCAATGGTCTGGAGAGGTGACAGTTTCATTGAGAAACGGGTATGGTCTCGTAGTGATGGGGTCAGGGGTATCATGGTGTGGCAAGATGTTCTGGGGGTTCCCAGAGGAGAAGCTGATGGGTCAGAAGTTCATTATGTCTGGCAAGATGACCAGCGAGCCTCATCCTCTGCTCAGCTATCTTATCAGATGCTCAGATAATGAGGTGTTCATACACTTCGTTATTCTGCCGTTCTGACCAGCTTATGTTACATCCTCAGCAATCTCGTATAACATCCATCTATACGCTTTGCGAGGGTGCGACTGACAGTCCTTGTTTCAGAGCAATATAGAAGAATGCAGATACAGATGGACTCGACTGTTGCCAGGAACAGTCGTACCTTGAGATCTCTACGCATACCGTACTTCCATAATATCATCTTCATCTGGAGGCATGCTGAGTGCTGACCAAGCCTTAGCTTTTCTAACTTCGAAGTCTTTCTCAGGACTCTTCATTCTACTACCCAGGTAGACAAAGTCCTCGACTTTTCCTAGATACTCTTCCCAATCGCAGCCGAAAGTTTCGGATTGTCATCATCTCTTATGTTGATTCCCATTTCCCATGTACTTAGTTGGCCTCTTGAGGAAATCTTGGGCCTCTGCAACACTATCCGTGATTATAGCAAGGTCGTCAAGAAAGTCTGCATTAATGACCTGTACTGCCGGATGGTGTCGGCTTCTTCTAGGCTGCAGGGTAACTCCTTACCCTCTAGGGCAACCCATGTAGTCAATTACAATTATGAAGAGATAGGGTCATAGGGTGCCAGTCGTCAGAGGCCCAGAGTGCAAGTGTCTCCCTGCATTACTGCTGCCAAAATAAGGAATGCTTCACTCAGACGATCCTTAGTGATAACATGAGCAACATTATCTGAATACATCCCTTGTATCAGGCTCACAATCTCCTTGGGATTTCCATATGCCGAAAGGATCTTCATAAGGAGTCCAAGGTGGACACTGGACGCTGTCAAATGCCTTCTTAAAGTCAATGAAGACTATATTACCGCTGTCAGATTCTTATCAACTGCCCCCTCAACTACCCTCCTTAGTCAAACTGTCAAAGAATATGGCTGGTGGTTGATCTACTCTCCCTAAATCGAATCTGATTGATTGTAAGGATCTCTTCTATAGCAGGCTTGATCCTGTTCAAGATTATCCTAACAAGTTACAACGTTTAATTAAAAATCATCCTAACGTTTGATCTGTATCAATTCACGGTTATATTATAAGTATATAATGAATACGGTTTATTCTGTGCTGTCTTATGACAATAGATTAGATTATACCTATTTATTAATTGTTTAAAGACGTTATTTTCAATCCTGTTAGGGTTAAACAACGATATTCGAAACTTGATTGTTATCATTGAAGATACTTATCGCGGCCAATTTTGTGATTTCGCGACAAAGTTAATGGTGTATAACTCGAAAACTAAAAGGTTTGGGACCTTGAAACCTTCATTCGCCTATATTAATGTGCTCATTCCGGTCATTTTGATGGGGTTATTGATCTTCTAAAACCCTTGATAAAGAAAGTTACAAAATCCTGATTTTTTGGCTTCGCGACACAGTTTTTGTCTTATAACTCAAAAACTGAATGGTTTGGGACCTTGAAACCTTTATTCGCCCCTATTAATGTGCTCATTCTGGTCATTTTGACGGGTTAATTGACCTCAATTGGTCAATCATAAGCTGAGTTAGACACATTTTAAGCATGCGTCAGTCGCGATTGGGTAACTCAACTTCAAAGCGTCCTGTAGGGTTATGCCCAAGCTAAAACAGGCGCCTCCGAGTGAAATTGAGTTACTAATACCTTGATAAAGGCCTGTGCTTCAGGAAAAATTCTTCCTCAATCGTGCAGACGAATGTGCATAACTGACTGGACTATCAGTCACGTGACACCCACAAAAGTTTAATATCATGAATTACGTGCTTATACCAATGGGTATTTTTTGTGAAAGTTGATATTTAGATAGCAGTTGACCAACAAACTAGGACCAGTGACCGAACTTTTGAGGGGGTCCCTGACCCCAACCGCCAAACGTTGCCTGCGGGGCAGCCACGCCCATATATGGTCCAAATTAGGCCCAATTAAGCCAAATACCCTGAACATGCCCAAAACCCAGGTTTAAGGTGCTCCACTTGCAGCTAGTGGTCTCCTGAACTCGTATATGAAATTCATCAAGATTGATCAAAAATGACTGAGTTATGAGCCATGAGGCAAATTTTGGAATTTGGCCGCCAAATTTTTTTGGCGGCCTAAATTAAAAATCGGCTTCGTAAAATAAGGTGGAAATACGATTTAGAGTCGATTCTGAAATTTCAATAAGGTACTAATTAATATTCTCAGGTTAATATCCGGTAAAATCCTGGGTACGGTAGCTACCAACCCACCCTACGCTCAGTTCGTCAACAAAAGTCTCGCTTATTTTCTCCAGGACCTCTTCTCTCTCATGGACCGAGGCTTCGTGTTCGAGCTTGTTAAAATGTACTGGATATGTGTGAGTTAATATTTTATAAAGTTATGAACTTTGTAATCGAATTTTTTTTCCCTACTCTTCCCGAAGGCAAAGAGATCGTAGGGAATAAGTAATCGGGTTTGGATATATGAGGTGGCCCGACGGTCCTGCGATGACGACAAAAGTCTGCTCCTTCGCAATATAGGCCACTCCCCTATAATTATGTGTATAAAAGTAGTCTATTATGCCCGCGCGCGACGCCAGTTATGTGTTAATTAATTACAGGCATGGCAACCAGTTTTTGGTGCTTGAAGACTGTTAAACAGGTTTCCATCGGGTTAAAATTACTCTAATTCATTAATATAGCATATTAGTCATCTGAGCGGATCAATCATCAATGTAAGTGTTATTTTGGTGAAACAAGCTTAATAAATCACCTAGTGATAAAATTCAGCAAGTCAAAACAAATAAAATTATGATATCAGCTGATAAACTCGTGGCTGATTATTTAACAGTTGATCGACACTGATTTGATTTGATTTGAAACTTTTACAAATAGTACATATACAATACAGCAAAGAGAATATTTAAAACAAACGACATCATTGGGTATTATGCTGTGTAAAAGTCGTAGACCATAATTGTAGAAATACTAAAAGCATGGGTAAGTGGTACAAGTTCTGGGGATATACGTATTACAGGTAATATTTCTACTCCCAGACTCACTAACACCACCTCCATCTAAACACACAAAATTAATCTAGAACACACAAAAATAGAATTGTCAAAATAAATAATATAATGATAGACAATGTCACCACGATGCGACCGGAGATGTGGCAGCAATAAGGAATAATGCATAATTGCGCGGCATTCGTAACACAGCGCTGAAAAGCATGGCTACATACTGATTTAATTTCGCGTAATCCAATTACGTATATTCACTGAGGACCACACGAGGGCCACATCCTGGCGACAGAAAGTAAATGTGATTTAATAGATATAGTTCTATTATACTAATTTAAATAATAGTGACGACTTGACAGACTTAAGGTATTTAGCCTCGAACCGCCAATTGTGGAGAAATTTATTTTAAATTTGATCAGTTCGATAATTTCAGTTTTAAGTTCAATTTTTTTGCATAATTTTTGATTTTGATAAGTTCAGTTTTAAGTTCCATTTTTTGTATTTATAGTAAGTTTTCAGTTCTACAAGTCTTTTAAGTAGACTTATCAGGTCTTTAGGATGTTCTTAGTAACTACTTTGGATTTGTGCAAAGTTTGATAATAATAATAATACTTGTTATATTCAGCATCGTGACCGATCTATCAGTGGCGGGGGCCCACCTATAAATATCATTTGCATTCCTTGACTTAGTCGGGGTCTGTCATTTTGTCCCAAACACACACACACACACACACACACACACACACACACACACACACACACACACACACACACACACACACACACACACACACACACACACACACACACACACACACACACACACACACACACACACACACACACACACACACACACACACACACACACACACACACAGATTTCTTGAGATTATCAAGATTGATTTCATATACTACATTTTGTAAGTACTATATTTTATATACTATTTTATATACTATATTTCATATACTATATTTTATATATTACATTTTATATACTATATTTTATATACTATATTTTATATACTATATATCAATGTTGCTGAGTTTACCAAACCATCAATATGGTCAATATTATGAAGGAGCAAACAGACTTTTGAGAGAATATTTTGGATCTAGTTTAAGTTTCTGAGGATTGCTGTTTAATTGCTGTTTAATTACTGTGTAATTACTGTTTAATTACTGTTTAATTGCTGTAGTATGAAACTTAAAATTTAACTTATCATTTGAACTCAATGAAACGAAAAGTTTCCAATGAAACGAAAAGTTTTATTTTACATTCCTTTAATCATAAATAAAATATGAGCTTAAACCACGAATTAGTTAGCTAGACGTAAACTTGAGGAAATATTCTTTATTTAAAAAAACTTTATTTGGTTGTTAGTATTTTTATTAGAACATTTTTTAGAACATTTGAATATAATTTGAAACATTACAGAAATGTTGTACAAATCGCTCAAACACACACACTCGGTTTTAATTCGGTAAAATTCCATTCGAAAATTAAATGATTCTCAAAATGTAGGTGTCTAATGAAAATATGATACTGTGTGACAAAGTTAAGTATGTCGTAGTGAAATAGAGTTAACTGTCGATAAATTCATGTGAGGTACTATCGAAGTTCAAAATGTTGTGATGGGTGACATGATAATGACCGATAAGAAAAAGTTTTCATGTCAACTGTGCCAAATCCATAACAGTGTGATGACTGTCAAAGTGTCTACCACTAGGTACTTGGACGAACAACTGTACCCGAGGTGTTCTGAGAGAATAAGTGGACAGGCTCGGGAACACGAACGCGCGCTAGTCGCTAGGGCAAAAATGCACAGTAAGCAGGTTAAAAAACGGAAATTAAAATGCCGTTTGGGCCAAATGCAGTGAGCCAGTAAGGTACGGTCGTAGGAGCGTAGTGGCTCTGAATACTAAAACTGATGAGGCTGATGCTGAAAATGAAGACTAAAAGAGGGGGAAGCAAAGGGGAAGGACAGGATGCAGGGGGACAAGAAAAAAAGAAACAAGAATGGAGACTAACCACCTGCTGAGGTCTGGCTAAAATCAGAATGCAGTGAGCGGCCCATGTGACATAATCGTCCGTGGCAGTCTACCCCGTACGCAGACTACGGTCCAAGATTTCAGGCGCCAGAATACACCTTTTGGTGCAGAGCTGGTCACGACCAGGGTCCTCTCGGATACCCCGTCTCGGAGGTCGGGCCAATGGAGCGATCCATTGCTGTACTGACAACCATTGTAACCCTATCACTCTGAAGGCCCCACAGTTCCTACATGGACGCACGGCCGGAAGCCCATGTAGGGACGGAAAGTCCCAAGAGTCGCTCATAGCATCCGTCACAGATCCAAAGCAAGAGGAGAAGGAAAGGAAGAACGAGAAAAGCAAAAAAGAGCTGAAGGACTACTTTCCATCTTCATCACGAAGGCTGTCTTTGTGCTTGAGGTTCAGACTGTACATTTCTCTGATGGTTGAGCATGAAAGTCTAATCAAGTTCACATCCTGCTCGTTAAGGTTACCGTAAAGATCTTGGGTACGAGAGAGAGTGTTGACAATGTTGGTCAGTCCGTTGTCATTGCTGTTTCCCAAGCTTTCACTAGCTCTGGTAAACTTGTCTCTGATAGCCTTCCCTTGTGGGCAGGAAGTGAGAAAGTGTGTTTCATCCTCTATGATCCCGGTTGATCCTTTCAGTTCACAAAAGGTGCAAGTTCTGCTCTCTAGAGGTGTGTTTTCGTATCTCCCAATTTCTATGCTGAGTCTGTGAGAACTGCACCTTATTTGAGCTGTTGATCTTCTGTCATCGAGAGTTCTTGCATAATCTAGGTAAGGCTCCCATGCAAAGACTGTTTTGACGTCCTTGTAGAAAGTGAGTTTCCTGCTCTCGTTAATCTTTGATCTCCAGGAGTCTGTAAACAGCTTTTGAAAGTTATTAACCAGCTCGTCTGGACTGCAAGCGTCTGCAAACGCAGTTGCATTGAGTAAAAGCGAAGAGTTCCTTGCATATGTTCTAGGATCAATGTTGTTGAAGCACTTGATGATGTTTTCTATTCCAGAGTACCACGAAAGATGCAAGTTTACTTGCTCAGTCATAGCAGCCTTCACCAGTTGAGACGATGGAAGACACATTATCCTTTTGAAGTATTTGACACTTAGTTTTAATACTTCGATCAGTAGTGGGTACGAACCTGTTATGGTAAGTAGTTGAATTTAGGGGAATTTAGTGAGACAGGGTCAGTTTCTCTATTGTCTTAGAAAAATTTCTACTTTACAGTAGGCAATGCTGAGTGGCAGGAATGAGGGACCAAAACGCTTGGGGCTAACAATGGCCCATTTACAAACCACTTCAGACATGGCAATGATGTCATTTATGCTTAATTCGTCTGAAACTGACCCTACTGCACTTCTAACATTCTATAAAAATCCCTCCTAAAATAGGTATAAAGATGCATAGCACAAAACACACAAACAAAAATGTTTATAATCCATATATAAATAAATTTCTATAGAACTTTCAAATTTCTATAAAACTGATAAACCTATAATCTATTTATATATATCTATTCATTTTGCACCCAGAGAAAGATGTGATCACAGAGGTAGTATCGATATTATGTTCATGCCAAGGTATGGGGCTGCTGCAAGTTATATTTTGCTAAGATATTGCAGCTTTTGTAAGCTTAAGTAATCTAGGCAAGGTCAATTTTAAAGTTTTTGAACTGGTTTCATTTGTTATTTGTTCTTTACTATATTAAGTATATAAAATATATATATACAAATTATATGTTCTCGGGGGTCGTCGTCGTTTTATTTTGTATATAAATTATGCATAATATATAATAATAACTATAATATTACAAAAATATACTGGGCACACTGCAGTCTTCTATATACACTGCACTCTACTATACACATTACAGTCTTCTAAAATTATTTAATATATAAACTTTAATTAGATGTATCTAAGTTTAAATATAGCGATTTGCTATACAGAATTAGAAAGTAAAGTTAAAACCTGCATACTATTCGCAGTATACATAGCTAGTAGCTACTACAGTAACAATTTCATATTACCATCGTTATATTATTGTCTTATCATGAATATAGTATGTATTATTTTATCATGGTTTAACTACATGTTACTAGTCATCCTCGTCCGAGTACTCGTCGTCAGAGAAGATCCCTTCGTAAGTGCTGTGTCTGTGCATTGATCTCCAAGAGTCGTCGGAACTGTGTCGACTAGTGCCACTGCTGCCAGAGTTACTGCGGCCTGGGGACGGCAGTGTCACATTGCAGCTAACCTCTCTTGAGAGTCTGCGAGTGCGGGATTCGTTACTCTCTGTAATTCCACA